CTAGCAGTTGCAGGAGCCAGGCGAGCTTCCGATCGCCAGGCTCTTTTTTGTCGCGAGCCCAAAGCCAGGTGGAATATGCCGATATTTTGGGCAGGACTGGAGGGGCTCCTGCATCGAACCAAGGGATCCTGGACGAAGAGGTTTCAGAGGACGTTGAGATCGTTGGTTTCTGGAGGGCACTGGCCACAAAGTCGGCTTCACCACCATGGACTTGTTGGCTCAGCGAGGTGTCTTGTATGTGGAGATCCCGAAGGGTCCTTGTGGCACAGGGCGTACGAGTGCCCAAAGCATGCAGGGCTCAGGCGTGAATGGGTTGACGACTTCCACAGGACGAGGGCTCGCAGGGTCCGCGAATGGGGGTACGACGAGGGGGAGAGGTTTGCGAGAGGCCTGTTCCCGTCGCCAGAGTTGGTCTTCCACGTCGCGACCGAGCCCCAAGAGACCATTTTGTGGCACAACAGACCTGAGTCAGGGCTCCTGACTGGCACGCTGTTCTTAGACGGTTCGGCCTTATGGGCCTCGGCCCCGTTTTTGGCCCGAGCGGGCTGGGCCATCGTGCAGGTGGATAGATTTGGCGAGGTTATTTCGGCGGCCTACGGGCCCGTCCCATGTCGCATTTGTCCTAAGCAGAGTTCTAGAGACGCGGAGGATTACGCCGTCTCGATGCTGCGCGTTTGCGCTATGGCGCCCTTCGACGTCTTCATCGACTGTGCAGGCACTGTTGGGACTCTCCGTGGCGGCGCGGGCGCTGGATCCCAAAGCAGTTGTGGTCGGGCCCAGCTCTGGAGTCCGTTCTGGGGTGCGTTCTCCGAAGGGGACTTCCAAGTGTTTAAAACCAAGGCCCACTGTACCAGAGCCCAGGTTGATGCGGGTGTCACCACGGAGTGGGAGTACAGAGGGAACGCCCACGCCGACAGGTTTGCAAAGCTTGGTGCTGCGGAGCACGGCGTAGGCGAGGAGCAATTTCAGTTGTGGCAAGGCTTTTTGTTTGTAGCCCAAGAGTCCGCCCGTTGGGCGGCTTGGGTGCACGTAGAGTCCAATGGCCTGGACCACGAAGATTTGATGGTTGCGTACTGGAGGTCTCGGGGCTCTACTGCCGAGGAGGACCTTGAGACCCCAGAAGACCCCGAGACAGAGCCCCAGGCGTGCAGCCGTGGAGGGGAGGTGGGGTCGCCGTACGGGGTGGGAGACGGGTGGGAAGAATATGCAGACGCCAGTTTTTGGTGGCAAGGCCACAACCTGCTGGAGGCGGATGTGCTCTGTCGCACAGCCCACGTTTCTTCTGTCGTCTTCTGTTGCCGCTGCGGCACTGTTTCCTCGGACGGCAAGTTATCCTCAGGCCTAAAGGGGTGGTGCCCCGAGAAGGCCAAAGCTGGAGGCGTGGACCAGCTGAGGAGGATCAAGAAAGGAGAGTTCCCCTCGTACCGCGCCAATGTGCGCTCGCTGAAGGTCGGGAAGCCGCATGGAGTGCTGCCAGCGACCCGCTCGTGCTTAGCCGAGGCCGAGCTGAGCCTGCCCCCAGAGCCGCTGCCCGCGGCCCCGAGCGTCGGGGACAGTGGCGGATGGGGGCGGGCTGATCACGGGGGGCGGGCCGAGGTGCTGAGGGCGTTTGGGCTGCGGGAGGGGGAGCTCGAACTGGTCCGCGACCTCGGCCGCTCGGCCCTGCTGCGGAGTGCGGACAGCCCCGAAGAGGGCGACTCCGACGCCGAGTCCTTTTGAATTGGGGCTTGACCCCGCGTTCAGCGCAAACCCATACCATACCATACCTCCTCCTCCTCCTCCTCCTCCCTCCTGCTCCTTCCCTCCCCCCCCGGCAAGTTGGCGCGCGCAGCTCTTGATCTGCCAATGCTCCGTCCGGGCGCCAGGCCTCACTTTGAGCGGCTTGAATAAGGAACACTTGACGCGGCTTGAATAAGGAAGCACATTTTCGCTTTTCAATGAGCGACTTTCCAAGTCTACCCTTTTGCTTCCTTCCCCTTCGGTCCATCCCTGGCCGACTTCGCTGGCCGCTCCCCTCTCGCAGAGTGTCGACGTGGCCTTCGGAGGCCCTTGCATCTTTATTGCGCATCCGTGTCACAAGGGTATCTTGCTTCTCTCCCCCGTCCTCCTCGCGCCACGCTCTCGCGCTGCACTGTCTCCAGCCCGCGCAATCGGCGCCATGGCGCCACTCCTCCGTTCCCAGCGGGACCGCGCCCCGGCGCGATGGAGCGCCCGCTCCCGTTCCCGATTCGCTCCTCGGGGCCGCCTCGGGCAGAGGCCAGTCGCTCGGGGCCGCTCGGGCACTTCCCTGGCCCCCTTTGGGGCCGAGGCTCTGCGGCGGGCGAGGCAGGGCCAAGGCGCTGCTCTCGCACCCAGCGGTCCCCCTGTTGACCTTCCCTGGAGCGGGCGCGAGGGGGGGGGGGGCGATGTCCCCCCCCCCCTCCTCCTGCTCCTCCTCCACCTCCTCCCCCTCCTGGGCCAGATGCCCCCCCCCCCCCCTTCCGTGCCTTCTCTGTGCTCCTGCCTCTCTTCTCCTGCACGGGGGGCCCCCCCTTCCTTATCAGGGCTCGGCCGAAGCGGTGGCTCGGCGATCTCGTGGGCCGTCTGCGTTTTTTTTGGATGCCGTCTTGCAGCGAGGGCGGAGCGAAGGACCGAACACGAGGGGCAGCGAACACGAAGCGAAGACCGAGCGCACTGCTGAGGTCGAGCCCTGCCTCTCGCCAGCTGGGCAGCCGGCCGTGTGCAGCATCTCTCGCGCGGTGCTCCCACCTGGACGCCCGATGTGGGCACGGAAAGAATGGGTACGATGCCCTAACAGCAGCTCCTGTTCATTTTGAGCAGGACTCGCTGTCCGCGCCGCCACGGCCGGTGTCCACCCGAGGCAGGAGGCCGCCTGCCCAGCAGCGGCCGCTGTCGGTGTGGGGCAGCATCTGTTGTTGGGCATGGTGCCCATTCTTTCCGTACCCACTTCGGGCGTCCAAATCTCAGGAGGGAAAGAAACACACAGACACAATTAATCGTCCATTCCCCAGAAAATATGGGAAAACATGGGAAGTGGGGGGGAAGGCAAAAACCTCGAAAATATGGGAAAATATGGGGAATCTGTTTATTTGTGTGTATTTATTTGTGCGTCCTGGGGCTCCTTCACAAATCCCAGGAGGCAGAAACACCTGGGGCTGGAGGTCCCTTCCAACTCCGTGGGCGGCCGGGGTAGGGTTCGGAATCCGTCGAGCACGTGGCGAAAGCCGAACTTCAGGAGGGGAAAAAACACACAGACACAAGTATTCTTCGATTCCCAGAAAATATGCGAAAATATGGGCAGTGGGGGGAAGACAAAAACCCAGAAAATATAGGAAAATATAGGGAATATTTTTATTTGTGTGCATTTATTTGTGTGTCCTGGGGCCCCTTCAGCAACCCCGTCTCCCATCAATCAGGAGAATCGACGGTTGGTGGGGGCAGGGTTCGGATGCCGCCAACGACGGCTCGGGATTCGTCGAACACGTGGCGAAAGCCGGACCCTACCCCCGCCTCCCATCGATCAGGAGGATCGATGGTTGGTGGGGGCAGGGTTCGGATGCCGCCAACGACGGTTCGGGATTCGTCGAACACGTGGCGAAAGCCGAACCCCACCCCCGCCTCCCATCGATCAGGAGGATCGATGGTTGGTGGGGGCAGGGTTCGGATGTCGCCACCTACTGATGTCAGGGCCATCCCTACCCCCGATAGTTTCGTCCCTCATGTCGGCCCCCCCCCCGATCTTGGGAAACCAAGCGGTCCAGGATACCGCCACTTCCAGACCTCTCCGGGGGTGCGTTCTGATCAGAATTTCGATGTGAACCCACCCGTTGCGACGAGGTTCACCCAGGAGGGCCATAAGCACAACCCACCCCCAGCCCCAGCCAGGACCCTCACTCCCGACCTGGTGATCCAGGGGGTCCTGGCTGTTGGGGGGAGTGGTTTTTTTTGGGGCTCTTGGGAGATTCAAAAACCATCCTCACCCGCAGCTGGGACGCCTGGATGACCAGGTTGGGAGTGGGGGTCCTGGCTGGAGCTGGGGGTGGGCTGTGTTGTCCCGGCGAGAGCTACACAGAGGGACGGGGTAGCTTCGGATGCAAGTCCTTAGAAATCAAATTCTGACCTCGCCCTGGTCCGAACTCTGGCTCAATCCGGCCCGTTCCCCCTTAATCCCGCTTGATCTGGCCTACTCCCGCTGAATCCGCAGCCTAATCCGGCGTAGTAGCCCCCCCAATGGGGCTTGACCTTCCTGGATCACTGCGACGAAGGCCTCCCAGTAGTTGCCTCCCCAGACATGCGGCGTCCTGACTCTTTCAGGACGGCGTCCCCGGAAGTCCAGACCCCGTCCCCGGGGCCGGCTTCTCATCCCGAGTCCTTTTCTGACGGCCTCGGGGATCGGCGAGGGCTCCCGGGGGCCGAAAACAGCGAAAATTCCTTGCCGTCTGGATTTTTTTTTTTTCTACGACGCGCTCATGGCGGCCTCCCAAGGTAGCGGCACTGGTGCGCCTCGGCCTGGCCTTGGCACGGCCCGCCCCCTCGGCTCTGGACGCCCGAAATGGGCACGGAAAGAATGGGTACTATGCCCAACAGCAGTTCCTGTTCATTTTCAACAGGACTCGCTGCCCACGCCGCCGCGGCCGGTGTCCATTCGAGACAGGAGGCCGCCTGCCCAGCAGCGGCCGCTGTTGGTTCGGGACAACATTTGCTGTTGGGCATTGTACCCATTCTTTCGGTACCCATTTCGGGTTTCCAAATTTCAAGAGGGAAAGAAACACACAGACACAATTAATCGGCGATTCCCCAGAAAACACGGGAAAATCTGGGAAGTGGGGGGAAGACAGAAACCCAGAAAATATGAGCAAATATGGGGCATCTTTTTTATTTGTGTGTCTTTATTTGTGTGTCCCAGGGCCCCTTCAAAATTGGCACGGCCCGCCCCCTCGGCCGCCGCAGCGCCCCCGGCGGCGGCGCTCCGCGGCGCGTCGCCGTCGCCGGCCGGCGAGGAGCCGTGCGCCGGCGGCGCGGTCCACAGCGACTGGGTGCGGTGCGTGGCCTGGCGCCCGGACGGGGGGCGGGGGGCAGGGGCCTCTCTGCCTCCTCCTCCTCCTCCTCCTCCTCGTCCTCCTCCTCCTGCTCCTCGTCCTCGTCCTCCTCCTCCTCCTCCTCCTCCTCCTCCTCCTCCTCCTCCTCCTCGTCCTCCTCCTCCTCCTCCTCCTCGTCGTCCTCCTCCTCCTCCTCCTCCTACTCCCCCTCCTGCTCCTCCTCCTCCTGCTCCTCCTCTTCCTCCTCCTCCTCCTCCTCCTCCTCGTCTGGGCCTCCCAGATGGGGTCGGGGTAGACTCGAAGGAGAAAAACCAACAGACACATAAACTTTTGGCGCTCTGAGCGGATTTCTCGGATCGTTTTGGGTCTCTCCTTCGGCCCTCTTGAGGCTCTTCTTAGGTCTTCGTGATGCCATCCTCGAAGACATCTATCACCATGGGGGCGGCGCGACTCAGCACCGTCCCCTGGAGCACGAACCAGCGCGTCCTGCAGCCCTTCTTGGATGACCTTGAAGCGATTTCAGTGTTCGTGGTCGTCTTGGAGCCATCCTGAGGCCCAGAGGCCCATCGGTAGCGAACAGGCGAGGAGGCACTAATCATTGAAACGCCTCAGGTGGTTGAGGGATCTTGCCCTCTCGGGGGCGTCCTTGTGAGGTTTCGTGGCCACTTAGGGCCGTCTTGGGGCGGTCTCGGGGCATCTTCCAGACATGCTGGAAGCTATCTTGAGCCAACTTGGAATACATCGTGCCATCCTGGAGGCCATGTCTGAGTTTTTGTTCCAGGGTTTTGCGTAGGAAGGGAAAAGGCGCCGTGACTTCGTACCGCACCCCCCCTTCTTCCCTCCCTGTAGCACGAATCATCACCCCTCGGAGACTTCATGGACTTCATGGGACCTTGGGTCGCTCTTTTGGGGGTCTTCGGGGCTCCCTCTGGGCCCCTCTCGGGGCTCTTGAGCGACCTTGGAGCTGCCCTGAGGTCTCAACCTGCATCGGAAGCGAACAGGTCAGAAGGCAAACATCACTGGTCGAAGGATTTTGGGTTCTCGGAGGATCCGTGGCCAGTTGGAAATGTCATGGGCCGTCTCGGGGCTTCTTAGAGGCATGCTGGAGGCCAACGTGAGCCATCTAGGACCATCTTGTCCATCTTGGAGGCAGTCGTGTTTTTCTCTGAGCCCATCTTGGGTCGAAAAGCATAGACAGCAAAACAAGGGCAACGGTGGGCGTTTCGACGCTTGCGAGTGTCTGGGGCCTCTCTTGGCTGAGGCCTCACTTGGGCTTGGTAGTGCGCCTCTTGGCGCCTCCTGCAGGCTCTCTTGGGGCCTCTTGGGGCTCCTCTGGGAAACCTGCCACGTCTTGGATGCCTCTTGGGCTGTCCTGGCGACCCCCTGGAGCCCTCCAGGGCGCCTTCTGGGCGTCCTGGGCCGTTTTGGCACTTCCGTCCACCTCAAACTTGTAGAATTAGGCTCTCTGGGGAGGGGTCTCGTGAGGGGTAGGCGTCTGTCACGCCGGTGCGTACCCCCAAACATGCTGATCTCGCCATGTCCTGTCGGTCTGCAACGGGGGTGAAGGGTGCGGTGTCACATTCTGGATCGGCTACGCAAGCCCTCAACACAAAGGATAGGTGGAGCAGGACCACTGCATGCACAGCCGACTGCAGTGGAGAAGCGAGTTATGCCGTGTCTTGCTTCATGGGGAGGAGTGCGAGTGGAGCACGTATGTTCATCTCGTGAGTGTGCACACGGGACTGTGCGTGTGCATACAAATGGTCGGACCCTGCTCGCCTGTCGGGCGCCCCTCCATCTTCCTTGCTCTGCGGCTGCATCCTCCTGATTCTTCTGGCTCATTTGCCTGGGACCAGTTCGTACCTGGCCCGTCCTGGTTTGTGCTCTTCGGCTCGGGACGAGCCTCCGATGCTCGCCGACGAAAACGTGTAGAACGATGGACCCAACACCTGGTCTGTCTGACTTTGCTGGCCACGCTCGTCTGGAGCGGAAAACGGTGCGAGCGAAAGTTGGAAGGGTGACAGGAGTAAACTTGGTACAATGAGCTGCACGGGTAATGCAATTTTCGTCGTCGTCGTCGTCGGCGGCGGCGGCGGCGGCGGCGGTCGTCGGCGGTCGAGGACACAATTTCCCAAGCAAGGTCTTGGGGCAATTTGGGGCGTTCCGGTTGGTGCAGGGGGGTCCTGGAGGCATGACGAATTTGGCTGCTTTTTGCAGGCGGGGCTACTACGATGAACATGAGCAGGGGAGGAGTGGTGAGGAGGGCATTCGAACATTCCTCTGGTTCGCTCGGTCGGTCAAGCCAGGACGGCTCTGCGGTCATCGCTTCCGGCGGCTGGGACATGACCGTGGTGAGCCATCGGCCCGCCTGTCTCTGCTTTCCCTCCCGTTCTCTTCGTTCTCGCCCTACCTGGCCCCCGCCCATCCCTCGGATCTACGACGGCATTTCATTTGCCCCTCCCCTACCCCCCTTCTCCCTCCCTCCCCGCCGCAGGCCTCCCTCGTCCCTTCCATTCTCCCTGCACTCCCCCATGCGCGTCATCGTCCGCTTCCCTCCCCCCTGCTCTCTGCTCCCTGCTCCCCCTGCTCTCTGCTCCTTGCTCTCCCCACGCTTTCGTCGGCTCTCGGCGGGCTTCAGCCTCTGGGGGTGCTTTCCAGCAGTTTTTTCCTCGTCGAGAGGCGTCCGGGGACAGGATCGTCCCGAACGGCGCCAGTGACCAGAGTCATGGCTGGTCGGTGTCCACGGGCCTCACCGTGCAACGAGTGACGAAATTCGTGAGGTAGGATAGCCTGCTTTGCAGGCTCGCTCTGTGAGCTTTCGCCAGTTTCGCAGGCTCGTCAGGCTGGCGGCTAGCCATGACACGGCCCTCCCGCTTGCCAGCGCGCGCGCAGGAGCGAAGAGGAGAGGCAAAAGGAAAGTATTGCCTAACTGTGTCGCTCCACTTCGCGGAGCTGGCTCCGGACACGAGAGAAGCTGGGTCCGCGGCCTTGGGCACCATGACCGTTGACGGAGGCGTTGGTGCATAGGAGCTGTCGTCGAAAGAGGTGCACATGCAGTGGCCGTGGTGGAGGAAGCAGTCATACCCCGCATGGGCCAGCTGCCTCGCTGGCCAAGCGAGGATACGCGCGGAGCTCCCAGAGGACTCCTGTCCAGACCTGGGCCGCCACCTCTCGCCACCTCTCCTTCGGCTGATTCTGAGAAGGCGCGGGCCTTGTCCGTAGATGTACGGCCCGCGCCGTCTAAGAAGCGGCCTCCTTGCAAGACGCCTTCCCCCCTCCCCCCTGCCCCCCCCCACTTGCGCGCCACCAGCCAATCCAGCAAGCTCGCCCGGTGCCGCCGTGGTGTTCGCGGGTCGAGGACAAACAACGGCAGAGGCATAAATTTTCGGCGCTCCGCGCGGATTTCTCGCATCGGCGCTGGGCCCCCCTTGGCGCGCTCCGCCCCAGTGTCAATCCAAGAAATCCGCGTGGACCTCCGAAAGTTCATGCGTGTACAGTCGGGGCGCTGAAGAAGGAACCCTGTTCGCTGGGGAGGGGCTCGGTGTTCCTGAATTGCTCCGCACCTTGCCCAAGGTTTTCCTTGAGCTTTCGATGGGAAGGCGCAGGTTAACGTATGGAGAAAAGGGGCCTCGTTCCTTCTCCTCCTCCTCCTCCTCCTCCTCCTCCTCCTCCTCCTCCTCCTCCTCCTCCTCCTCCTCCCCCTTCTCCTCCTCCTTCTCCTCCTCCTCCTCCTCCGCCTCCTCCTCCTCCGCCTCCTCCTCGTTCCTTAGGTCAACGCCCCGACTGTAGGCAGTTTTTGTTTTTTCCCCTGGCGGGAGCGCCGAGGGACCAGGCCCACGAGCGAGGGGGCCTACGGATGGCCTCGGGCCGGAAAGGCTGGCGGGGCGGCGTC